TGCAGAGAAATATCAATTCCCAACGCTACCACAAAATCTCCCAGAAAAAAGAAAAAAAGTAAGCTGGACAGTCGATTGTCCTGCTGATTTACGTCCTCCCTTGCGTCACGGTGGACAAAATGGCCGGAGCAAGCGAGGTAGCCGGAAGTGACGCGCCTGCCAGTGAAGGAGGATAGATAATCAATATCGATACAACCATCGGATTAGCTCTTCTAGTTGAGTCGAAACGACGGTTCATTCCAGGCTATCAAATCTGTCGAGGCATCCACCTCGTCCCTTTTTTCTTCTCCATTCCCCTTTCCTGGAACCGCCGCCAAGACTCTGTTTTCCACTTGATTCTCCACCGCCCTTCGCTCTATTTATCCAAGGAGCGTGCACGGTTCAGCGAAAGGTCCGAATATTTTGCTATTTTCTGCACCCTACGTCGGTATTCCGCTTCATCTAAACCAGTGTTCCTCAACCTTGTACACAACCTTCATAACTCCATAACTCTTGGGAATTGGTATATAATTGGTGTATTTGTTGTATGGGTAGATAAAATTGCGATTATTGTATATAATCTATTCTATAGTTCATTCTATTAATCTGTAATCTGTAATTGATTGTATAGATTGCAGAATTTGTTATTTATATAATATATAATTATAACTCTATTATTAAAATATTTATTAAGAGTAAGTTGAATTTTGTTTTCATAAATTACATACTGTATGTTCAAAAGTAATTTTACCGCATAGGCCAAGTTGAGAACCATTAGCCTGAAGTCTGCACACCTTTTGTGCGACGTAGATCGGATATACCCGCGCAACATCATACAAAGCTTCCACTATAACCTGCTACTAACGTTGTCTATGCACACATGTGCGTGAAGATATGGTTATATTTCCATCCTTATGGGGAGGTTGGAGAAATCATACCACCCAGCTAGATCGAAATTTAAGTTTATTGCAAATGACCCTCATGGTGAAAATGTTTTTAGTACATTCGATTCGATTTTTGGTTATATACTATAGGAAACGATGTGGGGGTGTGGCTAAGAGAGGTTCAGTTATTATTCGTGAATGACTTGAATGAATGGTAGATCTGAAAATTTTTGTTAGCCTAACTTTTATTACTAATTATACTCTTTTTTGATATTATATTGATATTTATATTTTATAGTATTTCTGCTATTACTTTTGATAAACTTGGATATGAAAGAGAAATTAAAATTCACGAAATTTTGAAAGTATTTTTAGATTCTAATAAAGCTTAAACTAATTTCATCGTGCTACATGATTAATCAATCAGTATGTTTCGTTAAAAAGTAAGAGGATCCTTTCCATGTCTAGTTAAAAAAAGCACGATATTTTCAAGTATTTCCTGTCGATTGCGTACAATGAAAATTTATGAATTTCCTCGATCATAAATAACTGGCAATTTCCACCGTTCCCACACAGCTTTCCAAGTATCGGACAAGTTGTATCAGTTTCGCGTGAGTGAAGTATTTATGTTGTATGGATTTTGTTCTATAGCATTGGTCGACGATTGAAAGTATTTTAAATAATTTCGAATATACAAATTCACGCATCACATACACGATTTTTGTCGATTTTAAAGAATTAAAATAAGTCAAACTGGTATTGCATAATAAATTGCAATAAGTAAGTTATTTTGTAAATTGTTATAATTTGTTGTAAGTTATTATGCACGGATCGAGAAATTTGAACGCGATTAAGTAATTTCCCTCGACACCAAAGAAGGTTGCAAGATTCCAATATAATTACAGATCGTAGTATTTATGAATAATTTCAGTTATCAAGAATGAAAGAATTCCGCAATGCGAATAATCATGAAATAATTGCTGTGCCTCTAAGGAATACCGTCTTTCTCGTTCGATATAATAATTACCACAAATTAGTAATCGTGGAAGCAGTTACTCGAAGCAATCGTGTCAGGAGCATAAATGTACAAACAATTTCAAAAGTAGCGTAGATTAAAAATTTTAAGTAGGTTAATTTTTTACTCATTTTATATTACACTTATTAACCTTTTGATTTATCTAATCTATAATTCTTTTAATATTTCACACAAAAAGAATATATTATTTTGACCACTATTATCATAATTGATGCAGGTATCAGAAAATTGGGATAAAAATACACCAAAATTTTGAAAATGCCACGTTTGGAAATATTTGAATATTATTTTAGAAAATTTTAAAATTTTTATATTTTTTGCAGCGGCATGTTTCTTTTTGCGCAATCAATCTTTTCATTCTGGTATGCGGGCATAAGCTGGAGATGAATTTATGCGCGGAGTCATGCTCGTTCGATTATTCATCCAGGCTAGAGTCAACATAAACCACCCGATATCCCGTGTGTGAAATGTGAAAAAAGCAGAAAAAAAGACGTGGCATGAGCTTTCAAGAATTCACGTTGTACCTGTATGATGTTAGGAGTGGAATAAAAGTCAAAATTGGTAATAAAACAACATTCGCGTAGAAAAAGCTTTTTGAAAGGGAAGCTATGTATATTGCTTTGAAAGGCGATAGCATTTCATTGGTACTTAAATTTATGGTTTAGGGTGGTGGTACTGGCACTGGGACTCTCCTACAGTCTCGCTAGGGTTCTCTGTATGCTTAAGCAATTTCTGTTTGATAATCTGATATGTACTATCAGGCTAAGTTTCCGAGCTTGAAAAGTATCTTTCAATGTAGTTTCTTTGCAACAAGATAAAATCATATATTTGTTATTTACTATCTTCTATTATATTATATAATTTATATAATATATTTTGATATTCATATACATAAAGTTGATCATACTTCATAACTAATGTATAATTTATTATTTATATAGAATTTATTATACAATTTATATTTTGTATTTATATCAATCTGGAAAGTGATAATATTCAACACAAAGTATTCTATTATTTTTTTTTATTAGTGCCATAGATCTAGAAAAAATTTTGTAATTATTTAGCGTAACGTTCTAATTTTGGAGCAAGGTTAAATTTCATAATTAATGACATAAATAGTTTAATTAATTCGAAATGCTTCCTAAAGATACTCTTTAGTGGGTCAGAAATGTAGGAATATGTGTTTCATTTCTCAGTGTCCTTTTTTCAGTGGAGAAGCGCGGTATTCTGACGAGAATAAACAAGCGGCGCGAGTACATGTTCAAAGTGTCCAGCAAACATTTGCATTAAGATTCCGGAATCACACAGCATCGCGTTAACGAATGACAGAAGCGGTGGAAAACGTAAAGCCTCTCCGTGAATAGAATGGCTGTAAATAATGAGAATAATTGAACTTACCTAGCTTGTGAAACGTTAATCAACTTCGAATATTGTATCGTCCGTTCCAGGGAATATTACGTGCACGAAAAGCGAACGATTGATAACAAAAAATAGTCAAATGAAAAAAAAATTTATTAAGAAAAGGAAAAACTAATAAGAAAATTAATCAAACCGTCGTTAATTGTCTTGAATAATTTATGACCATATAAAACTGTGATCCTTTCGATATTTGTTGAAACTAAATATTTCTATGCATTTTATTATAAGATTTTTAAAAAGCTTCAATTTGTTATTCACAAATGAAAGTGGGAATTTATTATTTATGAAAGTTTTGTATTTGTAATTTAAAGAAATTTGTTTCATTTTTCTATCTACTGTCTATATTGCCAAAATTTATATATCGAAGCTTGAACTTAGGCAAGATTTCGAATGTACGTAAAATTAACGACGTTGGAATCACGTGAACGCTCAGACACGTATCGAAAACAGAGGCTTCGATGGAATGAGTCAGAACGCCAAGTGTACGTACATCGAACTTCGTTTTATTTATTCCATCAACATGATCGCCAGACGTAAAATGCGTCTACATGCGCGACAGTTACAACATTCTGGTGAATACTCGAGGAACAAGTCATATAGTAGACGTACATTATTCTAACAGCGATAGTTGTTGTGTTCAGCGTTTGTGTTACGAATGATAAAGTTAATAATCGTACGTGGTGAATGTTGTTGGAAAGACGTAAAGTAAGCTGAGCTGAGAATTCGATAATCAATGAAATTCCTTCTAATCCTCTCTAACTGGGGTTTTATTTGCTTAGGAGCTAAAAATAAATTGCTGTCCTTAGCAATTTGACATTTTGAACTAAAATCAAAAGTCGAATAAATATGATGGTGGATACGTTTGATATAAAAATAAAATTTCTTAAATAGGAAATTAATTAGTAGAAATGTATATATGAAATATTATTTTTAAGCTGTAACAATACTCAAATAACGTAAAATTATTGATACGCAACTTGTAAGTAATATAGCTTTGTAAATAAAAGGTTTATCTGCACGACATTTAGATCTTGCACTGTCAAATTGATGGGACTCGAGGACTTAAGTATTGGAGGTTGAAAGATCATTGGATATTGAAATGGTTAAAAAGCAAAGCTATGCATTGCAAAGAAAAAACAAGAATAAAAAGAAAGCTTTTCTGAATTTTTAAATTCTATTCAGCTCAATTCTAAGAGAAAATAAAAATAAATTCTAGAAAACAAAACTTTCACCTCAGAGCGTGAACCCAATATAACCTTAAATTCTACATAAAACATCCAACTCACCGTACGTCTTTCTCACAGTGTACGCGTGTGTTAACATACAAGAAGAAAAAAAATTTGCATCGTAAATCGGTAAATTCGTTTTACAATTCTTTCCATGCAAACGCCAGCGTCCTCTGCAATCAATGCACCCATTAGGGGTGCCGCACGTTAATCAAGTCACCTAACGACTCATTCGTTAACAAGGACGATTCACAACCGAATAACACTAAAATTGATTGCATCCTCTGGAAGATCTCAATTCAAATGAACCGAATCATCTAATTTTGATGTAAAATTTTAGGTTAAAAAATCGTTAGATCAAATCAGTTTGACAGATTTGATCGAGTTATCGATTTATACGGGCAGATGCGAGTAGTGCCGATCATCGATTGCAGACGTCGCTGTCCACGCGGTCGTTCGTGAAAGCACACAGTGAAAGAGTGAAAGAGAGTGATATGGTAAACGATTTATTTGCATTCTACGGTCGTTTACAGAGCGTTAACCGAGCCTTTGTTACGTGCTTCGGCAGCATCTCACCACATTCACGTGAATTGCATCTACTGAGGCCCTTCGTGATTGTCCTTGTGTCATATACGTACCTGAAACAGAAGAACAGGAAACAATTAGGACTGATTCTTGGGTTAGTTATTCTTAGGTGTTCGAACTTTTGTTATTCCATGCTTAGTACATTGTTAAGTATTTTGTAAGTCTTTTGTGGTACACTCCCTGCAAAATGACGTTTAATGTAATCACGGAACTAAGAGTTCCGAGTCGAAGAGACTCAGAATTAAGTCCAAATTTAGGAGTTGGAGAATTCTTTTTATCTAGAACATGCTCGAATTTGTAGATCAGGTGTATAATAGCGACACATAACATATTTGTGTCAAAAATATGTTAAAATACTAATAAAAACCGTCAATAGGAAAATGGTGAGTAAAAAAATTAAGGTTAATATTTAATCCAATAATTCAATATTTAAATTTCCTTCAATTTATTTGTGGAGAATATGTAGTCATACAGTATAGAATATCTAAAGTATTTTCCACACACATACGAAATTTCTCCGTCTGATCTACCACCTCACCTCAATCTACACACGTACCTTCATCCCCTATCTCGAAGTCAACGAAGACAGTCACGCGCGGAAATACTGTTATTCCCCTGCCCGACCGTTCGACATCTGTCTGAGACAAAAGTTCCAACAACTTTCACGATCACGCAATATCGCTGGCAGACAACAGACGCCGGCTGTAACGCAACGTTAATTGCGACGAGGTCGCGACTAGAAAAGGACTCGTAGTGGATTTCATTTCGTTGCAACAGCATCGCTGCATGGTGGTTACGGAATTATCACTGACGCGGTCATAAAGCGGTCGAGGGAACCGTTCCGTCGCTATCTTTACGAGCGAATTATGCAGCGCAGCGAAACCGAGTTCCACCCTCCACCACCACGCCCGGAACAACGTTCTTTGATGCATAAGTTCCGCGAATAAATCGTATAAATTCTCGCCGCCGGAGTTGCCACTCCTCCAACTGGTAACTATTTTTCAAGCACGTGCTTATAAGTTTTTACAAGTTCGATGCTGTGTCGCGCTACGACCTACTTCGACTCCCTGAATGGGCGAAATTGAACTGCGAGGTGGGCAGAAATTGGTCTTGTCGAATAGATGGAGCACTGGTACGCGGCTGGAATTTATTAGGGGTTAGGGATGACGTGTAAGGAAGTGAGAATTTTTGTTGTTTTGGGCTTGTAACTGTGAAGTTTATTAGGTTGTCCTGCTAGCTACTATTGAAAGTTTGACATCATAGGAGGTGAGAATGTGTTTCAGGGTTTTGAGGTTTTAGGTGTTTGGCTTGGTAATAGATTTTATGTTTGGTTTCAAGTAGGCTAGATTTGTGTTGGGTTATGTTTGTAGAAAGTGTTCTTATATATAATAGAAGGGTTACCGTACCTTTCTTTATCGGATTTAATCGTACCAGTTTAATAGCAAAAAGAAATGACTTCCTATCGACTATATTGCTAAAATAAAAAATTGCTCAAAAGTTACAATTGTGTGTATTAATAAAATGTGCACAGATATGTCTGCAGGAATTTAGTAGTTAATAAAACGAAAATATTGCATACATGAAATAGATGTGAAGAATAAATAACTTCGAACTTTGCGAAAAACTTTTCCGGTATTCTTGTTTTATTTTTGTAATAAATTTTCTGATAAATTTTCCACATCATCTTCTTATTTCTTAAAAGTACTAACTGATAACCTAGTCTGATATATTATGAAAAATTCCAAATAGCATAAAAAATATTTCCTTACCATGAGTCACACGATACTGTAGGCAAAGGGGTTACAATAACTTTTTTTATCTTATTATACGCACAAGTATTTACTCTATCATACTTTACTGAACTACCTGACCAAGTATAAAATACATGCAAACCCTACCCCACACTATATTCCTCCTTCACAACGTCAAGCCCAACAAACACCAAAAAATCCTCTCCACTCAATCGCTAATTCTTAGCCCAACTTTCCCTCAGAGTCATTCCTCACCTATCAAATTACGAGGAAGAAACACCAAACAATCTTACGATGATCAATGCGTTCACTATCGGTAATAAATTCACCGCAATCATATTCCAAATCCGTCGTTGATATTTATGCCCGTCCAGTCATTGTGGGTTCGAAGTGGCGGTATTGATGACGAGAATCCACCTGCTCCTACATTATTATCCCGTAATGAAGTTTTATCCCACGTGATCGACAGCAACGAATTAAAGAGCAGGAGGATTCATCGATCGAGTTTTATCACCCCAAACCAGAGGAACCTCCTCACGACTTCCTATGACTACGCTTCATCGAGACGTCGCCACTGACGCGCTTTGTCGATGACAGATTGCCAGGTAACGCAGAGTCGAGGCCCGTTTACTCATTCATGACCATTCACTGATTACCTCGACACTCGAGAAGAAAGGTCTGCCTTGGTACATAAGTTCATGAATTATGATCAGACATCGACCGCAGACTCTATCGCTCCCCCTAATTAGGCTATCACCTAGTTCAGGGACAAACTGTTGCTTCGTGATGAATTAGCGACTCGAAGATTTGGTCTGATCCTTTTTGTATGGTGTCTTGTTATGGCATTTTACTATGGGGTACTCGATATTTGTATTTACACTAATTTCGGTATTGAAACAGGAGACCGGACCTGGATCCATCTCGTACATAAGTAACTGATAAAATGTCAGTCACCTTCGAAACAAAGTTGCGGAATAACTTGATTTGCGACAGAAACATTTCTCGAGATGAACCAGGATCGAAGGATGAAGGGAACATTTTAACGTTCACGGGTGTGTAAGGTTACGTCGCGCAGTAAAGTTCCGAGGCAATCGCGCGGAAGGACAGGGCCGAACAATTAAGCGGTCCTTACAGACGGTCGAAGGGGCACGATGTAACCACGATGTTCCTTGAATCGTATCTTCACCGGGTCTTAATCGTTTAGCGGGGTTGCCAGCAGGAAATTGCGGTTGACAATTGATTTCGTGGCCTCACGGCGCCTGTTCGATTTGTCCCCGAGCTGCAGGGGTATCGTGAAATCCTGAGTGAAACGCGAGAATAAATCCGCCCGATTCCTCATGTAATTGGTCACGGTTCGTGTCGATCCTTCGCTTTGTCTTTCTGTCCTATTCTTCTCTTTTCTATCTCTTCCTGTTGGAATAATTCGAATTGATGGAGACGAAAAGATTAATCAATACTAGTAGCACTAAAAGGTATTAAAATATAGTGTAACCTGGGACACGTAGATTAATTTTTAGTCTAGGTTATAGGTTCCACTTCTGTAGGATTTCAAGTAGACAAAATCAATTTACCATTAATGATCTAACCTTATACCTAAAACAAGAGAAATTTAAGTACATCGTCGTCCAATGGCCTAATTCTATGACAACGTACTATACATGATCCCCATTACCCCACACTTATAAATAACTTCACCATAACAACCGAATCCCACGGTCCAATCTCCGTACACAAAGCAACCTAGCAGTTGACGCGACCAATATCTTCAAAGCGTATCCAGGACAGCGTGGCAATGGTACCAGGTTTGATGGACGGATGAAAGGATAAAACGATTACTCGAGGTCTCTGTGAGATTCGAGTCTGTCCCGATCTCATCGCGGCTCGTACAGCGTTTATATCAGGTTTGTCCGATAATTGCGGCTAGGAGTCGATTTCCGAGCATATGAGCCGTGAAAATTTGCGGGCGGCGTCGCGTGCAGGTGAAACACGCCTCCCACCATCATCTAGATGGCGCGTCAGGTCGTGTCCGTTTCTAACGAGGCCACCGGCTAGGCCGAATTCTTCGCGTGCCCCGTGCCGCGAAATTCGAGGGAAACGAGAGTCTGCGTGTGCAACCCGGCCACTCTCTCCAGCGGAATCCGATTTCCCACCGCGACCAACACTCACTCTAAAATTCCACCTCTCTCTTTCGTGGATGATCAAAGGAATGTGGGATAGAGGTACAGATGTGGTACGGATAGTAAGATATGGAAATTCGTGATCGACGATTGATACGTTGGAGGGTAATAGTAATTACGAATGTGTTAGAGGTGTTGGTGGAGAGGAGTTGGAAAGAGAATGCTCGAGAGGGAGTGTGAAACGATGGTGTTCATTCGCTTTTGATGTAAATGTGATGGATTCTTCCTTTGTGTTTGTTTTAAAGGAATTTTTTATTTAATCGAGCTTTATTCAAGTTCAGAATGTCAGATTGTGTGGGTAGTTATGTGATGCAGTAGGGAATTTGACGAGTGTACCGGAATTTGATCAAATTTTTTGGATACCTCGGTTGCAATAATAATTTGACTGATATGTAGATTGTGTGACCTAGATTGCCTACAAACGCATTTGTCTTTTGCTGATGTTCTGTTTTTTTCCTCAATATTGTTAGATATTTTTATTGAAATGCAATTTGCAAAACAATGCAGAGTACTAAAAAAGATTCGGGAAAGTTAACGACCTACCAGACTCCTCAATCTCGACTTGAGATTCTTCATAAATATTAATTTGTTTTCAGATTCTACTCTAACAGACCACCCCACTGATTTCCCCTAACCTAATACTCCATTACACAGAAAAGTTCTAGCAAACTAACTCACACATCACCTGTCACACATCATCCCTCTCTCGACCGAAATCCACTTATTTCCCCATATCTCTTATCCCTAACCCCTTTGTCTGACAAAAACACCCCGAGAAACGCAATTAAAAGGTCCGTGACCGTTTTTCTTGCCACAGATAGTTCAATAAATGGCATTCTTGCCTCATGAACTGAAATAGATTGTTTTCACGGGAGCGGAAGTGGTAGGGATCCTAACGACAGTTCGTCAGCGGTTTTTCTCGCGCCTAACCTCAATTATATGAGATGGAGCCACGCGGAGCAATTAAGCAGACTGGCACGATCAGCTGAAGGGATTTGAAGCCACGATCTCGACCGTTACATCCGTGACGCCAGTTCAGTGGACCAGCTTGGCTGCTGAGAATTGCGGCCAACGATTGATTCTACTACTACTCAAGCACCCTTCTAATTTGTTCTAATGCTACCT